CCATTCACAACCCTGACCCCCCTCATTACTCATCTCATTTGAAGTCCTAAAAACACTTGGAGTAATAATTACAACTTTACATGGATTACAAGTTGATAGAAGAAGCACAGTGTTCCATTTTACATGTGGAAACTTTAGACATTTGTCCTGCCTCAGAGGCTCAGTGAACATGAAGAATCATTAGCCCAGTGCTTTTAGACCTGAGTAGCTTCAGAGAAACTTGGGGAGCCTGTTAAAACACAGAACACCGGACAACCCCCACCTAGGGTCCTGAGCCAGTGGATCTGAGGTAGGGCCGGAGATCTGTATTTCTATCAACTCCCCTGGGGATGCTGGTGCTGCTGTTCCAGGGACCACACTTTGAGAACCACTGTTTTAGATTTCACAAAATTAGATTGCCTGCTCTTGATTTATTTCAAGTGAAGAAAATCAGAGGGCAGAGTCAGGTTCCTAGGTGCCCCTTTCCTGCCCTGAAAAACCCCAGAAGAAACATTTCTGGGGAATCCTGGGCCTGCAGTTGATCTACTCTTAATCAGATGGTGTCCTGCTTGGCTCACGACTGGTCAAAATCTGTGAGGTCCATAAAGAGACAGCAGATGGCAGAAGGCTGACAGTCACATAGCCATCTGCAGAGTGCTTTTCCTGAGCCCCATTCCAGCAAGGCCTTTGTGTCACATCTAGCACCCCGCCCCACTTCCTGAAAGAACTAAGCTGTTTTAATTGTGGAGGACTCAAGACGCAGAGAGTCAGTAAGTAGCTTTGACATGTAGAGAGCACAGTATCCAACCATTAAATGATACATCTTTACTACAGTACCAAGTAGCAAATTCACCTCTCCAAATAAGGTATATTTGCTTATATCATAGCTACAATCCACAGAAATGCCAGTGGCATTAAGGAATGCAAGGGCCAAGTTCAAAAGTCAAGATGTAATCTTCAAAATAGCTTTATTATTTTCCAAAACAGTGAGTTGCGGTTAGAATCCTGAAATTATTTTATTCAGGCTTCATCCTGGGGTGATGTTTGAACAATGTCAACCTCTACACACAGGTTCCAAGATCCAAGGTGTGACTTGTCCAACACTAATTACGTTGTGTTTCCTGAGTCCTGTAATCAAGCAAATGGAGTTTATGTTCTGGTTTATGAAACTGGGAATTACACAGGAAATTACCCACGCTCCTTGTCAATGGAAAGAAGTTATTTTTAACAAGTTTTTTAAAAATCTACCATAAGGAGAAGGTCCTATGAGAACTTGGCACCCACTGATGAGCAGGAAGTTGTTTTGTAGCAGAACACTACAGTACCCCCCAGAATGGGTGGTGCCCAACTGCTCTGCTGGCCCCACGACAGACCAGGGGTGAGGAATGTCCCTGGAGTAATGCTGGTCCCATGAAAATTAACACTTGACCTTTGGATACTGGCCCACATAGAGCTCTGCTAGAAAGAATGAGAAGCCTCTTGGCTGATAAGATGGGATTCTCGGCAGAGGGGACCACAGAAAAAAAGGCCCACAGGTGAAGGTACCGGGCCGGAATGTCAGACATCTCTGAAGCATGACATTCCTGCACAGTGGTCATTGAGGGAGTGGCTAGAGGTGTGGCCAGTGAATACGCATGACTGAAAGCCATGAACTCTTTTGAGGAGTTAGGCTTTCTCCTATGTGCAAAGACAGCTTTGAAGAACATGCAAGCAAAATATCTGTAGGATGGAGATTAGGAGGATTTTATTCCATTTCAGGCAGGAGAAGATAAAAAAGAACAGTATAGTGATGAAAGATAGAGTTAGGTACATACAGTTTGGTGAGGATCTTGGATTCAAGGACAGCTGGGACAGCTTGCTTGGTAATTAACTAAGGAGAAAAGGGCAGAAGCACAAGGTCAGAAGCCCACAGTGGGTCTGTGCGTGGCTCCAGAGAAGGCACCTCAGGCAGCAGGGTGACAGGGAGGACACCTCAGCTATGGAGTTTCTCCACCAGGGTGCTCTCATTCTACTGTTTCAGGGACTCATAAAATCTAGAAATGATACCAAGCAGCAAGGCATTAATATTTACTACGTACTGTGAGCCTTGACCATTGTTATTTCACGGTGCTTTCTAGTCAGTCCTCTGTGCTTTGAGAAGATGGGTATTATTATTATTGTTTATCAATAATTAGGTGCGATTATGCCACTGCTGAATTCTCTGGGACAGAAGGAACAAATTAAAACAGAGCTTGTTTTTGTTTTAAGATAAAGAAATGTAAGATGAGGTAAAAATAGGTTAGGGTGGCTAGCTGGGAGTAGATCTAGTGTTATGTATTCATCCTTATCCAAGAGAGAAGAATCTGTTTTTGCTTGCCCTTTGGTTAAAGCGCTGGAGCAGAAAACCCCTGCTAAGCTGTTCTTCTGTCCTACCTTCCCCAAGGGGAACTGGAACTCCTAAGAGCAGACTGGTTGGTTCCAAACTGGTTGTTCTTCGTGGGCAAAGATGACATTGCTGTCCGTCTGAACACCAGTCTAACAGGGAGGAAATCTACTGTTTTTCTCCACACGATTCAAGTTTTACCTGTTCTGTCACAGACTTAGGGCTCCCTTCCTTCCTGAGGATGCACAGTTGTGCCACGCTGGCTCCGTTGGGGGTGTGCACTGGCTGAGTGAGTTTCTGTCATTGCAGAGTTGAGCAGCTGTGTAGGAATTGAGGCTTTGTCCTTCTCCCTGGGTCTCTGCCTCATGTTTCACCCACTGCTGCCCCAAGGGGTGGAAAGGTCCATGTGTGATCAATGGCCACATTGTTAATCATTAAGGACCAGAGGCTGAAGCCTTTGAAGGCACGCACCTTTGTAAAAACATCTTACAAATTAAAAAATGATATTCCATTCATGTTTATACGTGGGATTAAGACACTATTTATTACATTGTACTTGAAAAACAATGAAAGGTAAAAGTTTTTACAATATGATTGTATCCTCTATTCTTAGTTATTCATTCATTCATTCAACAACTTTTTTTTCTTTTTTTTTTTTGGTGGTGGTGATGGTGGTGGTGATACTCGGATTGAACCAGGGCCTTTCCACTGAGCTGTAGCAGCTGTAGCTCCAGCCCCTTTTTATTTTGAGGCACAGCCTCACTAAGTTGTTAAGTTGCCTAGGCTGGGCTTGAACTCGTCAGCCTCCTGCTTCAGCTTCCTAGAGTGCTGTTATTATAGGTGCGCCCAGCTTCAACAAACATACACTGCCTTTCCATAAGAGGTCAGTTTCCCTCCAAGGATTGAACACTTATTTGACTATCCTCAAGCCTTCCCACACACTGGTTAGCATTCACTTAATGTCAGTTCAGAAAAGACATTCTTATTTGTTCCTCTTGTCCCCAGTTAGAACCCCAGCACCTGGACTGGTGAGTGCTTGACATTCAAAAGTATTTGTGGAATGCTGAGTGAATTCTGGTACTAGGGTTAAGCATGTTGGTCACATTAGGGTACAGCTAAATGACCCTTTTGAATCCCTTAAATGCCAACATCATTCCAGAGATGATCAACATATATAGTGAATGTTTAATTTTTTAATTTATTACAATAAAAGATATGTTGCTATTAATCTCCCTCAAAACCCTTCCCCTTGTATCTCAACACGTTTATCCCATTTTCTTGCCACTGAAGCATTTCTGGAAGTCTTCTTTCATCGGGGTCTTTATAAAGTGTGATTAAAAAAAATGTGAATGTGGGCTGGGAATTTAGCTCAGTGGTGCCACCATCTGCCTTGCAGGCACAGTGTCCTGGGTTCAATCCCCAGTACCCCCAAAAACGTGATTGCTATTGCCAGTGCAATCCGATGAAAAGGCAGGCTCATAAAAACATTACGGTGTGTCTTTGTGCACTTTATTCACCGGATCTGACACTTTATGACTTCTGGCTCTTCCCCAAAGTCAAAATGACCTTAAAGGTAAACGTTTTGAAACAACACAACTAAAGACACTCAGGAAAGAGGACTTTCAAACTGCTTCAGAAATTGGCAAAAATGATGGGATAAGTGTGTTCAAAGCAGGAGGGCATATTTTGAGGGGTATTAAGAAAAATGTGGTGCCTTTTACTATAATAATTTTTAAAAATGTTAACAGCTATATTTTTAGATCATTCTTTGTACAATCTACAAATATGTTACCTACCACTGTCTCTTCCCTGGCTTTTAGCAGATACCCCCACTCTTCAGATGAGCCCAAGATGCAGTAGCTGGCTAGTGATAATGGAGTACATATAAACTGTGAGCTCCTGAAGGCCCCCAGGAAGGAGTTGGCTTTGAGCCTGACAGTTCAGAATTCCCATCCCACACTGACTCAGTGGGTGAGCCCGTGTTATGTTCGGAGCTGTTTCTCGTTCTCCACCACTTTTCTGTTTCTTCCTTTACCAAATTCCTAAGCTTGAAATTGTATAAATTAAATGCATACATGATGCCAGTCCATAGCACAATGAACTTTTTACAAACTGCGTAGACTGAAGAGGTAAAGCAGACCCAGGATTTCTGACCTCACAGATGAATCACAAAGGCAGAGTGCTCCTTTCTCCTTCAAACCTTTTCTTCTAGAGTTCAAAAAACTGGACAAATTTTCAGACTTTTAAAAGGCTAAATATCTTTATAAAAGCCAAATTCCTTTATAAGGGCTATCATGTCCCCAGATCGATGGACAACTCACTCACTACCAAGGAGTTTCTGGGGACATCAATTTCTTTCTTTACTTAGATTAAAAGTGGAATTTCCTTGCATGGATAGTAGTTTGGGATTTCCTATTGTACAGAATGAAGGAGGATCTGAGTATGGAACTAGAACTTTAAAGATCACGTATATAGTATTTCTTTGACTATATTACAAAATAACAGTGTTCGCTTCCGCAGCACGTATACTAAAATACTACAAAATAGCACTACTGACATGAGTCCAATAAATATAAATTTTTTTAAAAATTGGTTACCTACCCAGTAATAAACAAAAATTATTGTCTGAAAGTAATAACATATTCTGGTTTTCTTGAAGAAATAAGGAATAAAAAGCGTCTAACTGAAGCTGGCCCTTGGTTAGTGAAGTTGCAGTTGGCAGATAATGGCATAGATGGCAAAGGAGAAGAAGGAGAAAACTTGTTGGAATTCACACGAATGCTGACGTGGTAAGTAGCAAAGTAAGAGATTTTATTTCTTCATTTTCCAAAACTAAGTGCTTGAATTGAATCATGGAAACAACGATCCAGCCTTTTAGGGGTTTCTAGTGAGATTCTTAGGCTCTGAGAAGAAAGCATTGGCACCTGAAGTGGCAAACTGCTGTGTGTGACCCCGTAGCCGGGTCTCAGCGACCTCACTAGACAAAGGTGGCAGCCAGGCCAAGACAGCAGGGGTGACCGCTAGGGTTTTCTCCCTTAAAGTCCAGATTTAATTAAACTATGAGTGGTGTGACCTGAGGAAGGTTGGCCTACTCGGGAGTGACTAAATAAATTTGTCCCAGGCTCTTCAGACAGAAGGATGGAGCTCTTCTCAGAAGCTTCTAGGAAACATTCTGTTTCCTTAGCCCTGTTTATCCTGACAACCTTAGGCACCTCCCTATCCAGCTGTACAGAGCGCAGATCCTCACTGGGCCAAGCCACAATCAGAGCTTGCAGCCACCTTAGGAAAACGTTCTGGGTTCTTGCAGCACCTTGGGGCGACCACAGGCAGAAGCACCCAGCCACAGTGTAAGGCTTGAGGGCTTGATGGACTTCACGTTATGGTTTTATAAAAAATATTCCTTCCCTAATGTATTGTACTTTCTTATTCAGGAAGAATGGGGAGATTATATACCTGGATAACTATACTGCTGTTTCTCTACTAATTGGAAAATTTCATCTTATTACCTTTTGACTATACTACTGAATTTAATATATGACTGATGTATTATCCTTTTGAGATTGCTAGAATTTTGTTACAGGTTTTACACTGATGTTCATAAAGTATATTGGTCTATACTTTTCTTATAACATCTTTGGTTGGGATCAGCGTACTCTGACCTGATGGAATGGGTTAGAAAATGCTCTTTCCTATTGTATTTTATGAAATCATTTGGTAGCTTCATCACTGAAGACTTCTGGACCTGGAGCCTTCTCTAGGAGAAGATTTTTAACCGCAAATTCATTTTTCAGAGCTGGGCATGGTGGTGCACCCCTGTAATCCCAGCACTCAGGAGGCTCAGGCAGGAGAATCAAGGCCAACCTGAACTACATAGTGAGAGTCTATCTCAAAAAAAGCAAATAAATTCATTTTTCAAATAGGTATAGGATTATTCTGGAGGTGTTTTTTGTTTTTTGTTTTTTCCTGTATGAAGCTTTGGTAGTTTGTGTCTGTTGAAGAATTTGTTCATGTCACTTAAGTTCTCAAATCCATTGGCATGGTTATTCATAGTATTTCCTTGTGATAATTTTAATGTATATAGGACCTAGAGCGATATTTCCTCTTTTATTTATTATTTTATTTATTTTACTTACTTTTGGTTTTTTGAGACAGGGTCTCACTATATAGTTCAGGCTGGCCTTGGACTCATTATGTAGTCCAAACTGGCTTCAAACTGTGGCGATCCCCTGCTTTAGGCTCCCAAATGTTAGGATTATAGGCGTGCTCAACCATGCCCAGCTCCTCTTTTATTGACATTGATACTTTGTGTTTTCTCTTTCCTCTGATCTACCTGATTAGAAATTTATCTGCCATCACCCACCACCTTTCAGTACTGGGAGTTAAACCCGGAGCTTTCACTTTTAGCTACATCTCCAACCTTTTTTATTTCTTTTTTTAAAATAGGGTCTCACTAAGGTACAACATTGCCTAGGTCAAGGTCCAACTTGCAGTCTCCCTGCCTCAGCCTCCCAGAGTACTAGGATTACAGGCATATGCTACCATACACCCTACTTGAAATTTATCAGTTTGATTGATTTTCTTAAGTAACCAGCTCTTGGTTTTCTCTACTGTGTCTGTTTTCAATTTCATTTATTTCATCGCTTTATTATTTCCTTTGTTCTGCTTACCTTGGGTTGCATGGAGCTTTTATTTCTAGGTTACTAGGGTAAAGGGTTAAATTATTGATTTTAATCCTATTTTTCTCATATAAATTATTTCATTAACACAAGATACTACTTTCATTGAACCCTAGAATTTTTTTATTATGTTTATTGGTACATTTTAGGTATACAGTACAGTTACATTCATCATTGGGATCTGGCGCCTTTACATGACAGGTCTTGGTTCTCATTTTTTCCCCTGTCTCTGCCCTCCCTTCACCCCGTCCACCCCTCCCCATTTACAAACACTTTATTTCCATTTTTTCATTTTCTCATATTTTTTTCTTTTCCCTTATTACGTTTCCCCCACCTTTCCTACTTTCCCTACACCTTTAGACCTTTTATTCCTATTTCACATTGTCAATTATCCCATTAGGATCTTGTGTACTATTATAGTTTCACACCAGAGACTTTTTTCACACCAGAGAAACTATTCAGTATTTACACATGCGTGACTTATTTATTTCAATTAGGAGTATATCCTCAATATGTATCCATTTTCCTATGAATGAATCTAATTTCCCATTCTTTATGGCTAAGTAGTATTCCATTTTATAGAAAAACTACATCTTCTTTATCCAGTTTCCAACTATTGGGCAAATGGGCTGTTTCCAAGTTTTAGCTATCACAAACTATGCCACTATAAACATAGGTGTGCATATATCACTGTGATATGATTCTTTTAATTCTTTTGGAAAGATACCCAGCAGAGGGATGGCTGGGTCAAATGGAACCTCTAATCCCAGCTCTTTGAGGTATCTCTATATTGATTTCCATAGTAGTTGCACCAGTCTGCACTCCCACCAACAATGGGGAAGGTGAACCCTAGAATTTTTGTTTTTATTCTCATTTAGTTCAAACTATCTTCTAATTTCCCTTTTGTTTGTCTGTTTTTGGTACCAGGGATGGAACTCAGGACCTTGTGCTTTTGAGGCAGGCAGGGCACCACTGAGCTAAATCCCCAGGCCCTTTTCATTGTTTATTTGACCTGTGGGTTATTTAGAAGAATGCTATTTAGTTTCCATATAATTGTTTTTTAAAACTTTTTTTTGAAACAAGGTCTTTTCTCTGTAGTCACACTGGCCTGAAATTCCCTGTAATAGCCCAGACTGCCCTGGAACTTGAAATCTTCCTGCCTAAGCCTCCTGAGTTCTAAGACTATAGGCATATACTACCACGCCCACTGAATTAGGTTATTAAGTCTAGAACACTTTTGGTGGAGTTCTTGGGATCCTCTGTATAGAGTATCATGTCATCTGCAAAGAATGACAATTTCACTTCATTTCCTATCTTTATTCCTTTTATTTCTTTCTCTCATCTAATTGCTGTGGCTAATGTTTCCAAAAATATTTAAACAGGAGTGGAGATAGTGGACATCCTTGTCTCAGTCCTGATTTTAGTGTGAAGGATTTCAGTTTTTGACCAGTTAGTGTGATATTGGCTGTCGGTTTTTCATAGATAGCTTTTATCAGATTGAGGTAGAGACCATCTATTCCAATTTTTTGGAGGGTTTTTATCATAAATGCATGTTGGATTTTTGTCAAATGCTTTTTCTGCATCTATTGAGATGATCATATGGTTATTGTCCTTGGATCTATTAATATAGTGCATTACATTTGTTGATTTGTGTATGTTGAACCATCCCTGCATCCCTGGGATGAATCCCACTTGGTCAGGTATATGATCTTCTTGATGATCTTCTGCATTCTATTTGGCAGTATCGTATTAAGGATTTTTGCATCTGTGTTCATTAGTGAGATTGGCATATAATTCTTTTTTTCAGTTAGGTGTTTCTCTGCTTTGGGGATCAAGGTGATGCTTGCTTCCAAGAGTGAAGTCGGGAGTATTGCTTCCCTTTCAATTTCACTGAAGAGTTTAAACAGTAGTAGCAGTAGTTCTCTCTAAATGTCTTGTAGGATTCAGCAGTGAAGCCATCAGGACCCGGACTTTTCTTAGTTGGTAACTTTTTAATTACATTTTCAATTTCATTGATTGATATTGGGTTATTTAGGATTTTTAGGTCATCTTCATTCAACTTTGGTAATTCATATGTATCTAGGAATCCATCCATTTCTTCTGTATTTTCTGTTTTATTGGCAGAAGTAGATTTTGATGATGCTCTGGATTTCTTCTGGGTGATTGTAATTTTACCCTTTTCATTCCTAATTGCATGGATTGGGGTCTTTTCTTTCCTTTTTTTGATAAGGTTTGCTATGGATTTGTTAATTTTGTTTATTCTATTAAAGAACCAACTCTTGGCTTTGTTGATTTTTTGTATTGTTCTCTTAGTCTTCGTTGCATTGACTTCTGCCCTGATTTTTATAATTTCATCCCTTGTATGAGCTTTGTCCTGCTCTTCTTTTTCTAGAAGCTTGAGGTTCATTCAGCATCAGGTTGTATAATTGAGCTCACTCTGTTTTCCTAATATAAGTGTTCACTGTTATAAATTTCCTTCAATGAAAGGCTGCTTTCATTGTGTCCCATAGATTCTGATATGTTGTATTGTCATTGTCATTTAATTGTAGTAACTGTCTGATTTCTTCCTTAATTTCTTCTGTGACCCATTGGTTATTCAGAAGTGTGTTGTTCAATTTCCATGTGCTTATGACATTTTTGCAGTTTCTTTTGCTATTGATCTCCAATTTCATCGCACTATGGTCTGATAATATACATGGAATAACTTCAGTTCCTTTGCACTTACTTAAACATGTTCTATGAGTGAGTATGTGGTCTATTTTGGAGAACCACCCATATTCAGCTGAAAAGAACGTCTGTTCTGATTATTGTGGGGTGGAACACTCTGTAAACATCTGTTAATTTCATTTGTTCAAGAGTTTGATTGAGTTCTAGTATTTTGTTATTTATATTTTGTCTAGTTTATCTTTTTGTGACAGTGAAGTATTGAATTCCCCTGCTACTATTGTATTAGTGCTTATTTGATATTCATGTCTGTTAGTATTTGTTTTATATAGTTGGATGCACTAGTGCTTGGTGCATATATATATTAATGATTGTTATCTCTTCCTCTTGGATTGTTCCCTCTACAAGGATATAGTGTCCTTCTTTGTCTCTCTTAATCAGTGTTGGTTTCAAATCCACTTGATCTGCAAAGAAGATAGCTACTTCTGCTTTTTTTGGGGGGGGTTCCTGTCACATGGAATATTGTTTTCCATCCTTTAACTTTGTCTATGAGTTTCTTTTTTAATTAAATGTGTTTCCTGTATGCAGCATATTGTTGGATCTTGCTTCTTGACCCATTCTGCCAGTTTATTTCTTTTGATTGGTGAATTGAGACCATTAACATTGATGGTTATAACAGATATGTATTGACTTATCTTTGTCATGACTTTATCTTTTTGTTGGATTCTCCCCCTTTGTGTTTAATTTCTTGTCCTGCCTGATGGATTCATTCTGCTGGGCTTCCTGGGGTTGTGATCCTCATTGTATTTTTCTAGGATATTGTATAAAAACTTTTGGAGTGCTGGTTTGGTATTCATGAAGTTCCTAAGGTGCTCTTTGTCATGACAGTATCATTTCTCCATTGATTTTGAAAGATAGTTTTGCAGGGTACATCAGTCTGGGTTGGAGATTATTTTCCTTTAGGGCTTGAAATACATCACTTCAAGCTCTTCTTGCCTTGAGGGTTTGTGTTGAGAAGTCTGCTGTGATTCTGATGGGCTTTCCTTTGTGTGTGATTTGTTTCTTTTCTCTAACTTCTTGTACAATTTTGTTCTTCTGTTGGGTTTCTGGAATCTTAAGTATTATATGCCTATGTGTAGATTTTTTTTTATCGCAGCTAGTTGGAGTCCTATATGCCTCACTTATCTGTATGTCAAGTTCTTTTCCCCTACTCAGGAAGTTTTATGCCATTACTTCTGTGAACAGTTTTTTTATGTCATCTGAACACTGTCCTGTTTCTTCATTGACTCAGATCAGTCTTATGTTATTCTTCTTTGCATCATCTAGAAGCTGCTGGAAAGAATTCTTGTGGTCCTTTACTATTTTTAAGAAATTTTTTCCTGATAACTAACTTCAATCGTATCTTCTGTATCTGAAATTCTGTCCTCACACTGGCTCATTCTGTTGTGTAAACTTTCAGTGGCATTTTTAATCTCCTGGAAATCTGTTTACATCTGTTTTATTTATTCCATTTATTTCCTATGTTGGGATTCCATCATGTTCCTCAGCTCCTCTATTTTTTTTTAATCTGTGCCCACTCTAGATTTATTAACTATGTCTTGCACTATGGGCACAATCTCTGCTGTTATCTGAGAAATTATTTTTGATTTAATTTTTTCCATATCCTCTTTCAGTGGGATTCTAGGTGGTTGAGTATCATACCATCTCATTGCCCTTTGGGGTTGCCTTAGGTGATATGGAAGTCTGGTTTTGAGACTTGTTCATGTGTCTTCTCATTTCAACAGATGCAGCCTGCTGTGCCTTCAATGAGGTGACTTTTTGCTCACCCTATTGTCTTCAATTCTCAGCAAGCCACCAAGCAGCTTTTACTCTGCTGCTCACCAGTATACCAATGTCTGGGTTCAGAGTGGTGGCCTTCTGGATCCCTGAGCTGACCTGTTTTCTGGGCAGGCTTCTGGCTGGGGCCTATCCACACTTTGGATGGTATCTAGTTGTGCCTCTCACTGGGGCCCGGATGTAGCTATTGTCTGAGAGGGCCTTTGGCTGACAGCAGTTCCTGTTGTCTGCATAGGCTTCTGGCTGGGATCTCTGCACACTTATCAATGGTATCAGGGCAAGCCTCTAGCTATTGCTTGTGCACCAGTGCAGCTCTTTTCCAGGCAGGCCCTTGGCTGTGGCATGTATGCCCAAGCCTCTGGGGTCATGGTGGATCTGCCTGCAGCCACACCCCTCTGGTCTACATAGCTGCTCCCCAGGATCTGTGCGCACTTACTGATGGTATGGTGGGCCTCTGGCTAAAGCTTGTCATGATTGTATTTTTAATCTGCCATCTGGCCATTTGTTTTCTGTTTGTCTCATCCATTTTTTTTTCTAGTTTAAGCTAGTTTTCTGTCTGTTTTTGGATTGAATAATGTTTATAATTTAATTTTTTATCTCTTTTATTGACTCAGCCAATTTGTCTTTTTAAAACTCCTTTGAGACAATTGTCTTTTATTTTTAGTGAATTTATAGTCTTCATCTTTATCTTGCCATAGTCTACTTTTTTGGGGGGTGGGTACCAGTTATCGAACTCAGGTCCTTGAGCTTGCAAAGCAGGCAGTAGAACCACTGAGCTAAATCCCCAGCCCCACCATAGTCTACTTTTAAATAATGTTATACTACTTCACTTATAGTATAAGAATCATACAAAACTATTTGTCTATTTCTCTCCCATCCTTTGTACTTGTCATATATTTTACTTTTACAAATGTTATAAATCCCAGAAAAAAGTTTTGTTGCACTTAAAAAGAAGTTAATTATTTTTAATAAAGGGACATATGTATCATTTTTAGCATTCTTCATTCCTTTAAGTGTATTCAGACTTCTATCTTGTATCATTTCTTTCTGTATGAAGGACTTACTGCAGTCCTTAATAGAGTCCTGATCTGCTGGAGATGAATTTGCTAAGCTTATATATTTATAGGTATGTATATATATTTTTGGGGGAGTGGCTTTTGGTTTTTGGTTTTTTGAGACAAAGTTTCACTATGTAATTCAGGCTAGTCCTTGAACTCATTATGTAGCCCAGGCTGTCCTCAAACTCATGGTGATCCTTCTGCCTCAGCCTCCCCATAATGCTGGCATTACAGGTATGCACCACCACACCTGGCTCTAAGCTTCTGTATGTCTAAAAAGGGTACTTTGCCTCCATTATCAAAGTATTATTTTGTTTTGATCTAGGTATAGAATCATGGTTGACAGAACTTCCAAGACATTGCTTCACTGTCTTCTTCCTGAAGAGACATGACTTTTATCTCTGTTCTTTTGTACATCATTTGTCTTTTTCTCTGGCTGCTTTTGAAGCTTTTGTATTGCTGGTTTTCATCAACTTTATTATGATATGCCTTAGTATGGTTTTCTTTTTATTTTTTCTGTGGTCAGTTGAGCCACTTGAATCTATACATTTATAGTTTTCATTAAATTAAGAAAACTTTGAGTATTTTTACAAGTATTTTTTCCTATCCCTCTGTCTCTTCTGAAACTCTAATTACATATAGGCTGCTTGATCTTATCCAAGAGCTGAATAATATAGTGTTCAATTTTTTCCAGTCTTTTTTCCTGTGTTTTTCAATTTCACTGATCATTTCTATTGTTATATCTTCAGCTCACTAATCTTCTGCAGTGCCTACCATGCTGTTCAATCCAACCAATGTTGTTTTTGGTTTTTTGGTTTTGTTTTGTTTTTTTGTTTTTTGTGGGGTTTTGGGGTTTTTTTCTTGTTTTTTGTTTTGGTACTAGGGATCAAACTCGGGTCCTTGTGCTTGTGAGGCAGGCGGTGGAACCACTGAGCTAAATCCCCGGCCCCATCCAAAGTATTTTTAAACTCAAGAAACTGTACTTTTTATCCATACAGGTCAAACTGAATCCCTTTTATTGCTTCCTTTTCTGTCTTTCATGGTCATAGTTTCCTCCACCTTCTTAAAAAATACACACACACACACACACACACACACACACACACACACATATATATCGAGAGAGAGAGAGAGAGAGAGAGAGAGAGAGAGAGACCATCTTTACACTTCATGTGTTAATGTCTTTGATTACTAATTCTATCATCATTGTCATTCTGAGAGTTTTGATTATTTTTTCTTCTGGTTATGATTCACATTGGCTGCCAATCATGGTAAGTTTTTGTTGCTGAGTGGTGATGTGATGATTTTAATTCCTTTTCATTCTCTTCAATACTTTAGAATTTTATTCTCATGATACCAAGAGTCCCAAAAATGGGCCAGGGATTTAGCTCAGTGGCACTGTGCCTGCCTCAGAATTGCAAGGTCCAGAGTTCAATCCCCAGTACAAAAAAAAAAAAAGAGTCCCAAAATTCAGCCAGCAGAGCAGTGCTGGGCCATGAAGGAATTTTCAATAGTCTTCAAAGAAATTAGCAAAACAAAAAACAAAAAAACAGTGTGCTTTTTCCTAAAGTAAACATAATTGATTTAAAAAGTATCTTTTGAGACTATCCCCATCTTAACTTTATGTGAAAATATTTTTTTGCTTATAGTATTGCTAGGTGAGAGATGTTATTTATTTGACATACTAAATGTCAGTTCTTGTCAGTCCCTCCAAATTTTTTTACATTTTGCTGGTGTATAAAATGTAAATGACTGAGAAGTCCTGCTAGCTATCATGCCACATCTTTTGAATAAATAAATAGGTGGAGAGTTTAAGGCAAATAAAATCTGCATTTTACCACCTTACCTAAAGGAAGGAGAATAAACTGGGAAAAATGGGGTTCAGGATATTTCTAGTCTCACATTGGATCTGTGCCCTATAAGGAAGGGAAGGAAGGAAGAACAGAGAGAACCTAAAAAGAAAAATCATTCTCCAAAATTACTGGACTGAGTTTCTTTGTGTAACTATGCTTGTAACAGTGCTGTTTTGTTTTGCCATTTTCTTTGGACAGCCTAATCAAATACTCTGCCCATTTAAGGGAAATTGACCTTGGAAACAACGACCTGGGAGAAACTGCTGCTGCTGATGTCCTTGGAGCCCTGAGAGCCAGAAAGACAGGTAGAATGTCTTCCATATATGTGTTTTCTCCCACCTGCAATATCTGCTCACTTCTGAGCCCTGTGCTATGCAGTTTGTTCCACTTTATTTTTAAAAATGTAAATAACAAGCCACAACTATGTGATGACCAGGAGCACCGTCCCAGGCTGGCCACCATTGTGTCATTATACCCAGTGATGTGCACAGAGTTCAAGCACTTTTATGCCATATCCAGCATTTGAACTCAGCAATTATTTTTTTTAAGAGATAAAGATTCATTATGTTGCCATGCACCTGCCTTATCTTTCCCCATAGCTGGGACTACAGGCAAATGCTACTGAGCCTGGGTAGTAATTCATCTTTTTACAGTGAATTTTTCTCTACTGCTTTTCCTTCTCTGTCTTTTCTCGCCCTTATTTTGTTCTCCAAGAATTTCTTCTTCCTTCTCTATTCTTCTCCCAGGCTAGCCTTCACCAGTTGTTCCAGGTATAAATCAGAAAACTGAAGTAACAGCCCTCATAAGATTTCATTGTTCTTTCTGTATCATCAAAGAATGATTATATTGTGATTGGCATGGGGCAGCATTAAGTGAATATTATGATCATGCAACCCTATGAAAATGAGAGAATCACAAATGAAAAAAGGCTGATTAAGTTTGGCCACCCCTGCCCTCTCTTTCACGAGCATGCATGACCAGAATTAATGATGGTTGATCTTAGTGTTGAAAGAGGGGAGGTAAAGAAATGTCATTTAAATGCAGCTCAGTAAACATCATAAACAGATCTGAAAATGAAATTCAATATTAGGAAAAGTGGAGGAAAGTTGGTATATTCTGTGGCAAGTCAGGCGGAAAGAATTACATAGCATAAAGCATCTGATCATGGTCTTAGAGGCTGGCATTATTATAGATCACATTTTTCTTTTTATTCCAACAGTGTTTTAGAAGACTTATAATGATATTATTGTCCGTTGTACTGCCACTCTCCTTTTCCTTAGTGCTAGGGATTGAACTCAAGGTCTCATGCATGCTAGGCTACCACTGAGTCACATCCCCAGGCTTTTTAATTTTATTTTGAGACAAGCTCTCACTAAGTTGCTCAGGCTGGCCTTGAATTTGAGATCCTCCTGCCCTAGGTTCCCAGGTAGCTGGGATTACAGGTGTGTGCTACAATGGACAGCTTATATTGCCACTATTTAAAATGAAACTATTGTGTTTTTTAATGGCCAATCAAATGATTCCAAGATTTTGTTATTATCCCCCTATTTTAAAGAAACAGAACATCTACTTCTTATTTCATTAGAGATGAATTGAAATTAAACACAATAAACACAATTACTCTGTTAATTTAACTTAAATTCAAATTTAACTCTAATTTAGGCTAAAAAAAAACAGCAGGAAGGTTAATGATTTCATTTTGTTTTCCCTGGCACCATAGTAGCTTTTTCATTACACACTGTGATAGAAAACATTATAAATCTCCAGACAATCATTGGACCATTACTACAGTGAATGCTAATGATGGGTGTAAAATGATTATCACTGAGTATGCATTTGGAACTGGAAATCACTGTGCTTGCTTTGTAAATGATTCAATCTCTGTGAGAGAGAAAATAATTTTGAAATATCCACCTGAAAATACAAGTAATCATTTAAAAACATAAAAAGTAAAAAAAATGTAATTAAGCATTCAATAAACTTTTTTCTAAACTTAGTAGTATAAATGCAAGAGATAATGCACGTATCTCTTGAACCAAAATAATTACGGGATATTTCTGATGGGGAATGTCCACCTGGGTTGTTAGTTTGGATACCGCGATAGACCTCGAAACAAGGTTAACCGGTTGGATTCCACAGGGACAGTCACTTGCCATTTAGCCTTAATAGCATCATTTTAAACATTAAATGTAATTAGTAATATCACTGGTTATAGAACTAGTGTTTACCTATTGAGTATTTCTGTGTCCTTATCATTTGCAAGTTAACAAGCTAATTTGGAATCCTACTTCTTTCGTAAAATGAGGTCATTTATTTGCCTACTAAGGGGTTTTTTGTTGCTGTTTTGTTTGGCCGTTGTTGTTGTTGAGACAGGTTCACTATGTAGTCCCAGCTAGCCTTGAACTCACTGTGTAGTCCAGGCTGTTCTTGAACTCCCAGGCAGCCCGCCTGCCTCAGCCTCCTGAGTGCACCACCACCCTGGCACCAAGAAGTTCTTAAAGTCCCACCTTCAGTGATGGAAAACACAAAATAGGCTCAGAAGTATTAAAATCCAGTCCATCCAATGGAATTGTGAAATGTCTTAACTAGTTGATTATGTCCTTCTTCCACTTAGGAAAACTACCAGGATTAAAAATTAGAGTCACTCCTCAGATATCTTCCGATACCTTTAGATCTATTTGGAAAAATAGCAAGAAATCTAAAACTACCTATAAAAAGAAGAAAAAGGTACATTGGCGGGTGTCTGTGTTGGTGAGTAGTGTCCACCAGGGGGCGCTGTATGGAGCCCGAAGATTTGACTGGGGTAGATGGCGCCATTAGCTGCAGATTTCACACTTAATATAAAATGTTAGATCTAGATCATACTCCCCTAATCATTGTATTCATATGCGTGCTGATTCTATCAAGAGACAAGTAGCAAGAGAACAGCAGCGTTCCCTCAAAGTCTAGTACAAACCCAGCCTCCCCTTTCTTTTTTTTTTTTTTTTTAACTTTTGTTGTTTTTAGGGGGTTTTGGTACTGGGGATCAAACTCTGGACCTTGCACTTGCAAGGCAGGCGGCAGCACCACTGAGCCAAATCCCTGTCAGGGGTTGGTTTTTTGTGTGTTTTGGTTTTTTGGTTTTTGGTTTTGGTTTAGGTTTTGGCTTGGGTTTGAGTTTTTTGGTACCAGGGGATTGAACTCGGGACTTTGTGCTTAGCCTCCCCTTTCAATCCTCTCTCCCACCTGAATCCCAGTTATTACTAGCTTGTTGTGGAAGGCAATGTTCTATGTGTTTTTATGCTCTACTATGTAAAGTTGAACTTTTTTTCTTTTTTTAATTTATAATTTCCTGTCCCTTATTTCACAGGCTAAAAACTGAATTACAGAGGCTGTATTTCCCTGTGGAGCTCATCTGTTTCCACAGCCAACCAGACATATCTAGAAAGACTGCTTGTTCTGCAATAATATTTTTCAATATAAGTAAACCCTTTCTACACTCTTAAAATTTGGTAGGTCTCTTTTATGAAAGTTCGAAGTAGCACTGATGTGATGGCACTTGTCATGCTTTATAAAGTCATGCCTGTGAAATGCATGATTTCAAAGAACTGTATTATTTACCTAAGACATTTCCTTCATAAATATGCCTATAGTTGTAAAAATAGGGATGTTTGGAAATAATAGTCATTTCCTAAAAGACAATATCCCTAAAAATTGGACTCTTCCCCAAATGAGGAACCTTCATAGCACTCAGTCGTACCATGAATAAGACAGCCTCCTGGAAAACGGAAGAGGTATGGTTGATAGGTGTGTGGATGATCAGTTGGTTCAGCTGAGTTTTATGTGCCATGAAAATATGGTGCAGACGTGCAGAGCGCACACTGGGAATTAGCGATGCCAGAATTCTCTGTGGAGAACCAGCTTTTCCACATGTGTGGCCTGTGGCAAATCTGCTAACCCCACTGTGCACCTCAGTTTCCCTTTGTGTAAGAGAAAAATAAAAATAGCACCTAGCTCATTTGATGAGCTTTGAGTGAGCTGGCACATGTCAAGTATTTCTGGGCAATGTATTTCTCAGAATATTCATTCAAAAGGAAGCACTGGAGCTGCTCTACTGTTGTTGTTTTGTTGTTGTTGTTGTTGTTGTTGTTGGGGGTTTTTTTGTTTTGTTTTGTTTTTGGTACCGGGGATTGAACTCGGATCCTTGCGCTTGTGAGGCAGGAGCGGAACCACTGAGCTAAATCCCCGGCCCAATTGTTGGGTTTTTGTTTTTGGTTTTTGTTTGGTTTGGTTTTGTTTTTTGTTTTTTTGAGACAGGGTCTCACTATGTAGTTGAGACTGACCTGGAACTCCCTATGTAGCCCAGGCTGGTCTCGAACTCACAGCGATCCTCCTGCCTCAGCCTCCCAAGTGCTGGGATTACAGGCGTGAGCCACCACACCCAGCTATACTGTCATTGTTAATTTAGGACTGTCAGTATCACTTATGATGTAAGAAAAATAGAAAAGAAAAAAAGACTTTAAATCTCCTTATTTTGAATCAGAACCAAAAAACTTCATTCTTCTGTGTACAAATGTAGCCCCCAGAGGCATGACAGCAAATCTTTTGAAAGGTGCATTACAGCAGGTGCATAACACCCATGCTTATTTTTTAGAAGTATTGTCTATTGATGATATTAATTTTAATTTTATGAGTATTATTATATTAAATAAGGTATACTTAACAGGAAAATAAAATATCCATAAAATTAAATTGTTATATGCAATGAGTGTTTAGAATAAAATCAACATTTTCAAAATCAACTCTTTAGCTGCTTACAAGATCCACAAAATAATAGCAGAAATAAATTCCTGTGTGAACTACAAAGAGAATACAAACAAAACTCCACCACAGAAATAATGTTTGCTTCAATTATGACACTTAAGGCAGTCTTCACACGTGAGCACAGCATGTTCCATGCTCAGGTATCACACAGATAGCACGTGCTTTGTTCTCTTGTCTTCTTTGGTAGGACAGACTTGACATCTTGCTGGTCTTACTGTTTTCTTAGGAGGTTCTTGTGATGCTTCACCTGTTCACTGCTCTGCTCCAGAATTCTTTTGAGCAGCTACATACTGTTCTTCCTCTGTTGTAATTGATCATTTATCAATTTCAGTCCCAATCCTCTAAGAAAATTTCTCCGTGATATTTTGTGCTTGTTATTTTCTTTGTAAACTATGAAACTATTTATGGCTCACATGTTTAGAATCAAGTAAAACACAACCACTGACCAATGCTTTGTATTTTCAGTGCCATTATGGTTGCTGCCCTGCCTTTCATTTTATTGTAAAATGTGATTATTTCTGGCTTCATATGTGTTTAAGGTTCACTATCAATCTTTTGTTTGTTTGTGTTTTGAGATAGGGTCTGGCTATGTAGTCCAGGCTAACCTTAACTCACTATCCTGCCTCAGCCTCCTGAGTGCTGAGATTACAGGATGCACCACTGCACCGGGCCCCACTATCACTCTCATCATCATAGTATAATATTGACAGTTATCAGTATTACTTTGTTTTTCTTGGATATATAGGAGGCCAACGTTATGTCTTTCTGAAATCCAAAGATTACACTATACATTTCTCTACTGTAAAGTTGCAACATTTTTTCAGGAATCTGGGCTTTGTTCTTGCAAATAGTTCCTGCACTGGTCAACTGGTGTTCTTTTAGCAAATGTAACATCAGTGGGAAACTAGTGAACCAACTGTCAAATGCGACATTGGGGTTACCTATTTTTGGTGGGGGGAGGTTTACTTTTTGAAACAGGTGCAACAAATCTGTTCACAAATTCATGTGGTTTATTACTGCACAAATAAAGATCCAGTGGCTGAGTTCCAGGTTTTTTTTTTTTTTTTTTTTTTTTTTTTTTTTTTTTTTTTATACCGGGATTGAACTCAGGACCTTGTGCTTGCAACGCAGGCACAGTGCCACTGAGCTAAATCCCCAGCCCTCCAGGATACATTTCTAAGTTCAAAGTAAAAAATGTCTTTGTATCTAACAGGGCATATATTTTCATACCATATTTGGAAGATGTACTTGGTTTGTATTGCCAAAAGCTTCACCAACAATGAAATTATACAACTTGTCAATTATTGTGCATTCAGATGGTATATAAATTGTTTGACACTTCAAAACAAAGCTTTCAAAAAATGAGTGAATAGCACCAAATTGTCAGATTTTTTTTTTCTTTTTTGGCAGGTCTTTTTGTTGTCAAAATGTAAGGTTAACAAGTGCTGGCAAGTTCATGGAAACTACTGTGGAGGTGGGCGTCAGGTATAAGTAAATTATCTCCACACTCATGGATCTTAGGACGTATCTAAGAAGACAAGATCCTCACCCAGTAAAATAATACTACAGTAGAAGAGTTGAAATAATATGTCACTAAGTAGGATAAGGAAAGCAATTTAACAGATCTACCAGAACTGGACAGGAATGCTACGGATGACATTTGAAAGTAGGTTGGGCAGCGCAGTGGCAGGACTTAACCAACTGGGATATTTAGATTTTGTTTCGATGATAATGTGTAGCCATGGAACATTTGAGTGAGAGTGTGCCAGGTGGTGAGGAGACTGTCAGAGATGAATCAGGCACCTTAGAATGAGTTCCAGTCGAGTTGGTAGGGAGAGGCAGGAACGAAGCCAGGACACAGTGATGTATGCCAGGTAAAGAAAGCGCAAACTCACAAAGGGAATGGAAAGCCGTGTTGATTCTAGAAATTTCTAAGGGAAGAATGAACAGTGACTACATGGGAGATGAGGAAGAGGGGGAAAATCAAAGATGCCTATGGTTTCAGGCCAGGAAAATTACACCCAGGAGAGAATTATTCCTCTGGCAGAAAAAGGGAAACCTTGCCAGGACTGGTGGCACATACCTGTAGTCCTAGCACGCAGAGGCTGAGGTAGGAGGATCACAAGTTCAAGGCCAGCCTGGGCTACATAGTGAAATTATGTCTCAAAAAAATAAGGAACCCTTGAAGGGAAACTACAGTTTTAAAGAAAGGTAATGAACTCTTTTTGTCAATTCTGAAGCAATAATAAGCCACTAACATGACCCTCTGGTTCAAAAACTCCACAGAATTAAGTAAAGAAGTAAAAGCACACACATAGCACCATTGCATCCACACCTAGGGCTCATAAAGATTCAGCATAGGGGGGCTGGGGATTTAGCTCAGTGGTTCTAGTGCCTGCTTCGGAAGCACAAGGGCCTGAGTTCAATCCCTGGTACAAAAAAAAAAAAAAAAAAAAAAAAA